TAGTAATTAACTTTAAGGTAAAAACGTAAACGTTACCTTAACCTTACTTAATAACAAATATTAACTATACTATATATATATATATATATATATATATAAAAATCAGTTTGAAACTTCATGATTATTTCTACAGATAATGTAGCTTCTGCAAATAAACTATCTTATATATATTATTTTCTTGGCACTTTTTATATATTGTTAAAATAATAAATAAATAACACAATGTTAAAATCAATACACAATTTGAAACTTTTTAATTCAAGCCAATCTATGGCCTCTAAAATGTGGACTCTACATGTTTCAACATTTACCACGTCATTATCAGGAATGAACTTGTAAGACATAAGTGTCATATTTATTCCTTCTCAGCCAAGTCATGTGACCTATGTGTAAGTTTACATTTCAGCATAACCCCCAGAGGGGTCCCAATCACATTCTTCACAGATATTTGCTGGACTTTGTTTCTATTTAGCCCTTTTCAACACAGGTACCCATTTAAAATATTTTCTGCACAAGTCACTGTGTTACATTCAACATTTAATTAAACACCTTTAATATCAATGTATATGAATGAGATTAACATTATAATACGTTATGATTCAAAGCTTTATGTAAATCTAAATTTAAGTCCTTTATTTCAAAAGAAACCAAAAAAACTACTTAAACTTCAGATGTATTGTCATGTGACCCATGAGCTATGAAAATGCTCTACTTTTCACTAAGTACCTTCAATAATATAATGCCAGTTGTGTAAATGTATGTCTAGAAAAGACATTTCTTTAACCTACTGACACTTTTCAAAGTTCTCTCGATGAATGCAGTTTAAACAAGTAATAAGTTTTGTCAACCTCCGACTGGTACCATGGCCACCTTCAATGGATTTGTTTGAGTTTTACAGCCTACATGTAAATGTTACATACACATGTATACAGTTATTAGAAAGAGTTCATTTTACACTAATCTAACAATGGATATTTTGAAATTGGTGCCAAGTTGTCATCACGGAATACATGTAACTGCCAGAAGTATTGTTGGATGCTTGATCAATTATAGCATTTATGGTTGTTTCTTACCTAAATATGTTATAGTTAGATACAATTAAATTGTATTTAGGTCTTACTCAGTGGCATAACAAGAGGGGGACAGTCGCTCTCAGGTGCAGGTGTGAAAGGGTGCAAAATTTCCTTTGGCCTATAATACCTATTAATTAATAATTATGCCCTGCCCTACGTTAAGTGTTATGTTAT